CAATTCAGTAGGGTTTGAACACGCGTCAAGCTTTTAAAGGAAAGCTTGTCCTTTGCTACAGTGAATAGTACAAATGCCTATTCATGAGCAGACATTCTTTCGTGGAGTTGGTGGGTAATAGAGTCAACTAGTCGGCTCTGTACCATACTATACTCTAGAAAGGGTATGGGTTTGTCCTTTGTGTGTGGAAGGACAAGACAAAAACAATATTGCACAACAAGCTTCATTTGATCACTAAATGCTGGAATAACACTAAAGGTCTTTTCAACATTCGATGAGGCTTGGGCAGTCTTCACACATATGTTGACTAGGTTGTAATCACTGAATGTCGATTCAGATCACGAACGTGCTAATCACTAATCTTTAGTCTCAGTCTTCGACTTTCACTGAAGTTTCTTTGGTGTGAGTTTTGTCTTCTTGAAGTATCACTTTCACTGTAGGATTTACAATACATGTTTCAGCGATCACTGAACAGACTCAGTGATGATCGCTGGAACTGAAAGAACAAAAACATAATACTTCGTAAAAGGTAAAATGGATTATCATAAAATCAATGAGAGAGAGTATCAACAAAGGGTCTAAAAGCCAGTTATGACTCTTAGTGGCTCAAAACAGTGTGTTTTCAGGGCTGTTTGCACTATATTTAAGATTAATCTGCTATTTTGTAAATTTCATATAAAATAGATGGATAATACAAGTTAGGTATTTCCAGAACTAGTAGATTCATCATATACCATACTACAACTTTCATTTAGATAGTATCTTCGGTATTGACATCTAAGTGAGGTAAAAATGCTCTAAAAATGAAGGATAGAAGTTGTGAAAAGCCGGGAACGAAATTTTATAAAGCTAATTTTTGTGTTTGCGTTCTTAATGAATATTCGATTGTCCCTTTTGAAGTTTAGGTTGTTTATAAACAGGTAGGACCTAAGTAACTTGTTAATAGAATTAGGATATGGTTTTACGTCATTTAAGTAATAATCGATTTAGGCATTCGTTAGGCACGTGAGCAAGTCAAACCTTATCGTGAATCCCGTTTGATCGTGCTTTACTTCTCTATTTCGCCTAAGGTACGAATTTCACTTTTTTGACTCCTGGGCAACTAGTTGTTGTAGTTGAACCTTCGTAACGGTGGTTCACCGCCTTGTGATTGATCGCTTAAAAGTGGTCAACAAATTGCGTACCTATATATAACAACTCTTGAATCTTTATCGTGAACACTTGAGTCTAATCCGTTGAATTGTATTTTTGAATCTTTCAAGTTTATTAAATTGATTATCATATTTTGAAGTAGTTTTGAGTTTTATGAAGTATGTTGAAACTTGACGTTTTATGAAAGGCATCCGGGTAGTGGCACATGTTTAGTTTTATTGGTTTTCAACATCAACCAATTGATAGGCACATTAGTTGTGATGCCTTCTATGGCGGCTTTGTAGTTATGGCGTCCTGCAAGTGAACTCGGTCCATAAGGTTAGGCCCAATAGTGGCTTACGTGAACCCATCTTGTGGACTAGGCCGATTTTATTGGCTCCAGCACAGATGGATCGATCCTAGGTTTACTTAACATGTGACCGTGGTTAAATTCACAGGGGACTCGGTGTGTGTGTCCGCATGCCAGCCCGATAGTTTGTGTGGTCTAGCCACCCCATGAACATTATAGGAATTGACGAATTGTTTATATTATGTTTGAAATGAGAATTATGAAACGCCTTGATTTTCTATGAATTCAGTTTCATTGAATTGTAAGTCTTCCGCTATATTATCGATGCTACTTATTATTATTTCAAATTTATATTATAATTTGTTCACTGAGCCATGAGCTCAGTCGTGTTCTTATTTTCTGACATGACAGGTTCCAAGTGATACTGGTAGGGACAGGACTTGAGATCGAGCGTTTGACTTTTGGAGTTTTTAAACTCGTTTGTAGATGTATAATATTCTAAACTTATAAATAGTTGTTAGAATGTAATATTTTGGGTTGTATGGTATGCTTTAAAAGTGAATCTATGTTTGGTGTTATTAGTAGCTCTGTAATGTTTGTGTCTTTGAATTAAGTCCCGTTAGTGACACTGCCCGTTCGGATGTGACTATGAAAGTAGGGATATTGTATTTCTTTGGAATGTCGATCAAAGTAATATGGTCTGCAAAGGGTGACGCCTGGTATCCTGTCGGGGGGTTCTACATCATCAAAGACAACTGCTCGGGGTAATTTGGATATCAACGGCAAACATTTTTTTTTTCCATTTTGTTTTTCTAACAATTTTAGGTGGTGAGTCATGGAATCTTCTTCAGGTCGTGTATGGGTTGGCTAAACTTTTTTAAGAAAAAGTCACGTCTTGTAAAAAACACATGCCATGGCGTGCCTCAAGACGCCATGGCGTGAACCACGCCTTATAAAAACGCTATACGCCTTTTTGTAATGTCGGAGATGGGTCTTGCGCCATGTCATGTATTTTTGAACACTGCATGAAGTCCATCCTTTTGGGATGATTCTGCATCATCAAAGACACCAAGTATTGCCAGTAGTGGAAAAAGGGATGTTAGTGGTAGGGAACACATACGTCATAGCGATTGTTGTCATGGGAATTGATGATATCAGATTGATTGCTTGTCAAAAGAAAGTCCAATGAGCTGGGAATGGTGGTGGTGGAGGAAGAACTTGAGATCGGGGAACCGAAGATGTAGAGTTGAGAAAAGGTGGGATGGTGTAAGATGGCATATGCAGGGAATTCGAAGGTGGAGGTTGGTTGATGGAGGATCCAACAATATTTTTCTTTGGGAGTTTTGCAATAAACTCAAACTTTGTCCAATCAAATGAGCGATCTGCTGATGGGCAACATCCAGTTTAGCTTGCATTCTTGAGATGATGTTATGATCAAAACCTATAGTTGACATATTAGAAAGAAAGATCAGTAGAGAAAATAATCTAATAAAAAAATTGTTTCGAAGGGAATCCTTAGCCAAGTCAATGCCGGCGCTAAGCTGTTTATGTCAAAAATTACACAATGCAATTTAAGGTTTGGATCATGAAGCTATCAACTATAGATTGAACCTTCGAGATAATAAACAAATGAAACAAATAAATTAACACATGGATTTTGGTGATGTGGAAAATCCCGTCTAGGGTAAAAACCGTAGACGATCGTGGATATCCTCGATGCACTATAGACATCAATCAAAGATGGTGTCCTTAATAACAATGATCGCTATTACAAGACATGGTTAATAAGAAATGATGTAGATAAACCTAAACAGTAATTTAAATGGCAGGGGTTTCTTCCAGAGCAAGTGAGAGTACAAAATATTCGGTGTTCGAGGTCTTCTGAATTTAGCTAATCTTCATATTTATACTCTTGTATTCATAATGACTGCTTTAATGGCCCTAATCTCTATAATGGTTAACTTTGATGGTGTCACTAAATCTTATTCGTTAGTTACAGTCTTTGCATTGCTGAGAAGATCTTTGCCTTTATTCTTTAGTGATGTTTGATTCTTGTAAGGAATGCAAAAAGTAACATGGCATCGTTAGGTGAAACTATTGGTTGTCGTGGTTATTTGATAACCACGATCCTAGATGATGGCACGTCGAGGATATCGTCGTTAGGAATGATAACCTAGTCGGTTGCTCTTATTAATTTTTTACCCAAACTATCGTCATGTCGCTATTGTCGTTGTTACAACTGCCAACTACATCCTCCCCCGGAACAAAGATGGAGATTCTAATTCTTTTGAAAGATTTCATTTCAATTCCTACCAACCAAACACGTGTCAAATTTCATACCAATTTCTTCAAAGTCAAATTCTTTTGAAGAATTTCAATTCCACCAAATTTCATTATATGAACCAAACGTACTAATTAGTTTTCTTTTCACGTTTATAAAGTTATGGATCATTAAAATTAGCAAAAAGTTGCTAAAGGCAATGATTCGAAAAGTGAAACATCATAAGTTTGTATTAAAAAGGGTCTAAATTGGTAACATGTGAAAATTAAGGTCTATAATTACAAAACGTATAAAACTTGGGGCTTTTCTGCAATTTACCAATAAAGGAAACAGCTAAAGTTTAAAAACTACCTGCCGCTTGTTTTCCCCAATTCACCGATCCTTTAGGTTTAGCAAATCCAGCAAAACGAGTTTGGACTTGAACTCTAGGGCTGGAAACCCAAATTCTAATCGGTTTCTTTTTAAATTTCAGTTATCTTTCTGGAATTTGGCGGGTTCATGGAATCCCAAGGTAATCCGTTATGAGAAAAACCCTAATTTCATATACTGCATGAATTCGAATTTGTTTGCTTATTAAAGTGATGGCTTTTTTACATGTGGATGATGGTTATAGGACAGAAAACTTCGAACAATCCCAAGGCCATGCTTTCATCTATTTTGAGTAAGAGACAAAAGCTTCAGGAAGAACTTCGAACCATCGAAAAGCAGGTTGGTATATGTATAACTGCTTCAGTTATATCTCATTGAGTTACTAATTTGCTGGGAAAATATCAGAAAGTACATAGACAGAATATACATATTCAGATTGGTGTATGTATATGGAGAAAAGACATTAGCCTAGGTTCATACAGTTTCCGTTTTTTGAGATAGGGCACTATTTACAACATCAACAGATATTTGTGAGACTAAATTTTTAAACCAATTGAGTTTGTAAACAAAATTGTGAACACTTCTGCTTTGGACATAAACAACATATCCTGCTGAAACTCCTGTGTAAGGTCGCCTCCTTTTATATAGTCCACTTGTTCATTAGTTCACTACTTCTTACCATGCCATATATTGTGTCAGCCCACCTCATCTAATGTCCTTATCTTGGTACAAGTTATTCTCTTTTGAATTGGTGTATCCAAAGGTCTACATTGGAGATCACCAAACCATCTGAAACTAGTGTTGCCAAACCATTTTTTTAAAATCTGATGACACCCAAAAATTTCTCTGGTAATCATCATGACTTTGTTTACAATTTAAAAGAATAATTCATCATTGGAAGTAGTATTCTTTACATACTCGTATGTATTAAAATGAAGCTTTTCCTCAAATTAAAGTAGGAGGAGTTTCAGTGTTGTTGAGGTTGATATTTCTAGAAATGACGATTAGCATGTTCTCCAAATTGGTGTAAACTTTAGACATACTAAAGGTTGCAATTGATGGATATCTCATGAAATTATGATTTTCTTTTGATGAATATGAGATGAGATAAATAAAAAAGAGAGCATTGAATTGTAGTATAGTCTGCTAAAGGCATATGCAATGGCAAATGTAAGAGGTTAAAAGACCAACTATGCTCATTATTTTCGGGACAAAATTAAAATTCATTTACCTTATTTATGTAAGATGAAGGGAGTTGTTTAAAATAGGCACATTTCTACTAACTCTTTATCATATCAAATATCTGCTAGTAATTTAACTGTTAAAAATGATTAGATCAGTGGAAAAAAGATTCTCACTCACAATCCTTCATTTTGGCTCACCAACAAACCCTGTTTTGCAAGGGAATTTGGCTTCCACAAGTACTATTGTAGTATGTAATTTCATAAATTAGATATCCCCTAACATAGGAATACATGATATGCCTTCAATAGCTGAAGAGAATTTTCTTTTGTTTTTTGAGCAAATTTTTGTTGTTGGAATGATTAAGATAGGTGTATGAATTAGAGACAAGCTACTTACAAGAATCAAGCAATTTTGGGAACGTGTGGAAAGGATACGAAGGGTTTCTTTCTTCATCAAAGAACACTGCAAAGTATGTCTTTTTGGTTTACCTTTTTTTGTACTTGTTTCTTATTTTCCGGTTCATTTTTTTTTTGTCTTTAGCACCATTCACTTCTCTTGAGGTTTCTATATGCTCTTAAGAATGAAACTGACACTTTAGGCATTGCTTATGGAGGACTCACATCACAGATTAATTACCTTTTATGGCAAGGATTAGAAGCATCCCTACTTCCTAGTAATATGCTCTATTTCATTTAATTTACTGGGGGCTTACAGTTTGCTAACTACGATAACTTGAAGACATTCCCTTCATAGTTTAATATGTTTTTGTGCTAAGGTTTATCAGGTTGTTTTCTGTAAGTATTTGAATACAAAACAGACTATAGTTTCTCAAGGATGAGGTCGAGATTTCTGTTTCAAATTTTCTAAATCCTGTAAATGATTCATCCGTGGTTGTAGTGGACGTGGAGGTGGTTAAGAATCTGATTTTGGTGGGAAAAATGCTGATAGATGTATGGGAGCAAAGACTGCTTCTGTTGGACAGTGTGGTTATGTTATGTATCGATATATTGGGCTGTAGGGAGGGGCGGAGCCGGGATATAGAATCAGGGGGAGCACCAAGCATTTTATGAGAGTAGAACACCTAGTTTTCATTTTTTTGAATCTATATATGTGAGTATGATATTTTTATTAGAGCAAAATATAACAAAGTTTGATTTAGCTCATATATAGTGTAATAAAATTATTTTCTCACCAATTGACATAGCAAAGTGTCAAAATTTCCTATTTTATACCTATTTTGATCAATAACATGAATGTGGATGCCCGTTCATGAAAGATTTACGAAAGGGTTACGGCAAAATGGAGATAAGCTTGATATCCACATCATCAAAATGGGTAAAGAAGTAGAAGATTTGAAATTTTGTTACACTAAATAAAAACTTTGAAAATTTATTACATTGACCGAGAATAAATTTATTACACTAAATAGGAATTAAGGGTGTAATCACATTTTCGATTTTGGTTTTGATTTGAAAACGCAGGGTCAAAGTGATGGTACTGATATTTTAAATAATTTTTTAGTTTTCAATTTCAATTTTATAAAATTCAAGAAAACAAAATATTAATAACTTAACACTAATAACAGTTAGCATATAAACAGATAAAAACTCAAATTTCTCACTGACTTCTCATTTTTCCAACTATGTCCAATAAAATTTAAAAACCCAGGAAGAGCACATGCACCCCCTGGTGGTACCAATTTGGCTCGGCAAGTGGCTGTGGGTCGACGTTTGATATATTTATGTAGTGCCGTTGAATGCAACATATGTTCTTATTGCATGCAACATATGTTCTTATTGATTATGTGGTGCTGTTAGAGGGTGAGGGACTAGTGAGTTCTTATTGATTATATAGTGCTGTTGAATGCAATGTTTATTCAAGTATTATGGTAAACCTCCTGTACATTTCACGTATAAGAGAAGGGTTAATTAAGGGAAATCCTTTATCTTGTTAGTAGTTGGTGGGTATACTTGTATAAGGGCATTTTGGGGTTTTCTCTTTTGGAATAAGGAGCGGGATCCTTTATTTGTTGAGGGGAGTGCTTTCTGTTAAGCATGCGTTTTTTTTAGTAATTGTAAATTGAGCTTAGGATATGGGAGAGCTCTGGGTTTCTCGAAAGCCATAGGAGTATTTCTTTCTCTGTAATTTCAATTCAATTTCAATCAATCGACACCAGTTTACATCAAATTGGTATCAGAGCAGCAACGATTCATGGATGGGGACTCGAAGCGTGGCAACACGAGTTGACGAATTGGAAGCAATGTTGGTTCGATCGAGAAAGGGATGCAATCGATCCTTGAAACTATGAAGAAAATCCTAAAACAACAAGTTGAAGTGACGAGCAAGTTGAATCCGTTACCAACATCAGAAGGCAGTGATTCATCTGGTTCGAGCGGAAGAAAGAGAGAAGGAGAATTTCATGATCCAAATCGTTCTTTGGCGGTGAACGGCAGAAAATTAGAGATTCCAGCGTTCAATGGAAACGATCCAGATGGTTGAATACTTTGGGCTGAGAGGTATTTCACTTTGAATCGATTAAATCAGGAAGAGCGGAACGATGTGGCATTTATTGATTTTGTAGGCGATGCTCTGAAGTGGTTTCGATGGGAAAATAAACGACATCCGATCACTAGATGGGAGGATCTGGAGCATCTTCTGTTGAGGCAATTCAGATCATTGGCATCCGGCTCCTTATGTGAACATTTTATGGCGATTAAACAGGAAAGGACGATCGACAAATACAGGAAGAAATTCGTCGAGTTGGCAGCTCTTTTGAACGGGATTCCATAAGAGGTTTCTGAGCCAATTTATTGATGGTTTAGAAGACTTAAGCAACATAGAGTTACGATTGATGAGCCCAATTTCATTGACTGAAGCTATGGAGAAAGCATTGAAGATCGAGGTAAAGAATAAAATGATTGGTAGGGATCGAATGTCAGGTACGAACAGGAGGAACACCAACTCCGTCTCGGAGGCTAGAAGTAGTTCATCATTTTCCATGGCATCCCCTGTTGCCACGGTCAGAACCGGATCGGAATACAGGAGATTATCCGATCAGGAAGTCCAACAGAGACGATCTCTAGGCCTTTGTTATAGGTGTGACGAGAAGTACTCTCTGGGCCATAAGTGTAAAAAAAGGGATTAATGTTATTTTGGTACAGGAAGACTCGACAGAGGAGGAAAACGGGGATGAGGAGGAAAAGGCGTTGAATACAATGGATGTCGTAGATCTCGGACAGAATGTGGAAATTCATCTCAATTCAGTGGTGGGCCTCACTAATCCGAAAACGATGAAGATGGAAGGCGTTATCATTGATCAAAAAGTAGTGGTGCTTATAGACAGTGGGGCTACTCACAATTTTTTCTTGAAAGAGGTAATGAGTAAGCTGGAGCTATCGGTGGAGAACACGAAAGAGTACACAATAACTATGGGAATCGGCATAACTGTGAAGGGAGAGGGTGTTTGCAGGCATGTGACTTTGCCGATACAAGGATTGGATATAATAGAAGATTTGTTACCAATCCAATTAGGAAATAGTGATGTGATTTTGGGAATGCAATGGTTAGAAACCCTTGGTGCCACATTTACTAATTGGAAAAAACAGATTATGAAATTTACGATCGGGGGGAAATCTGTGTCGTTGCGGGTGTGATCCGTCTCTTGCAGATCTAAAGTATCGTTAAAAGCAATGTGGAAGATTATTCAACAGGAAGGTCATGGGGGTGCAATTTGAACTGGGCTCTTGTGAGTCTGTGCAAGGAAGCCCCGAGGAAGTAAAATTGGCAGAGTCTGCTCTTGTTCCGCTGCTACAGGAGTTCGATCGGGTTTTCCATTTGCCTACGGGACTGCCACCGATTAGGGATAAGGAGCACGAGATTGTATTGAAGAAAGGGGCCAAACCAGTGAACCTGAGACCGAATCGGTATCCACATTATCAGAAGGACGAGATCGAAAAATTAGTCAAAGAAATGTTGGAGGCAGGGGTGATTCAACCTAGTGCGAGTCCATTTTCGAGTCTCGTCCTGTTGGTGAAGAAAAAGGATGGCAGTTGGAGATTCTGCATCGATTATAGAGCCTTAAACAAGGCCATGATGCTAGATAAATTTCCTATACCTGTCATTGATGAGTTGTTGGATGAACTTCACGGGGATCAAGTGTTTTCAAAGCTTGACTTGAAGTCTGGATACCATCATCAGAATGAAAAAAGAGGATGTACACAAGACTGCCTTTCGCACTTATCAAGGGCATTACGAATTTCTCGTGATGCCTTTTGGCCTGGTTAACGCTTCGGCTACTTTTCAAGGATTGATGAATAGGGTTTTTAATGGCATTTTGAGGAAGTTTGTGCTGGTATTTTTCTATGACATACTTGTGTACAGTAAATCAATGGAGGAACACTTGGGGCATTTGAGGGTTGTTCCGGAAATATTGTCCCAAAATCAGCTTTATGCTAATAAAAAAAATGTGAGTTTGGTCGACGTAAACTAGGCTACTTGGGCCATATAATTTCAAGGGATGGGGCTGGGGTCGATGAGTCCAAAGTTAGAGCGATCATGGATTGGAGGATTCCGGTGACAGTTACGAAATTGCGAGGATTTTTGGGTTTGTCCGGGTATTACCAGAAGTTCATACAAAGATATGGCATGGTAGTTGCTCCGCTTACAGGATTACTTAAGAAGAATCAGTTTCAATGGACTGAGGAGGCTCATTCTGCCTTCGAAGGACTGAAGAAATTACTTTCAACCGCCTCGGTCTTACAGTTGCCAGATTTTTCGGTCGATTTTGTTATTGAGACGGACGCATCATAGTATGGGTTGGGGGTTCCTGATGCAAAACGAGCAACCAATAGCCTATTTTAGTCAAGCATTGGGGATAAGAGCCAGGCAGAAGTTTCTGTATGAAAAAGAATTGATGGCGATCGTTTTTGCAGTTCAGAAGTGGAGACCACATTTGTTAGGAAGGCACTTTGTTGTGCTAGTGACCAATGTAGCCTTCGATTTCTATTGGAGCAAAGGGTGGTGGAACCTGAGCATCAAAGGTGGATGAGTAAGTTGTTAGGTTACGATTTTTCGATTGTCTACAAACCGGGAAGTGCAAACCGGGCTGCTGACGCCTTGTCTCGCAAGGGAGATTTGATTGAATGTTCCAGCATAGGTGGACCGCAGTGGAGACAATGGGACAATATGAAACAGGAAATTGAGGATGATAACTTTTTGAAAAAAATAAAAAATAATTTGCTGATTGATCCCAATGTTCATAAGGGATTTGAAGTACAACAAAAGCTCCTGTTATACAAGGGCAGATTGGTTTTGCCTCGGAAATCACAGTTTATTCCCTTGTTATTCGAAGAAAAATTCATGCTTCTCGGATCGGAGGTCACACCGTGGAGGATCTTACGTATCAACGAATAGCTTCCGAAGTCTTTTGGGTGGGAATAAGGAAGGACATTAGTGATTTGGTGAAAAAATGTGAAGTGTGCCAACGGAACAAGAGTTTAAGTGGAACCCTAGCGGGATTATTACAACCGTTGGCCTTGCCTTCTACTGTTTGGGAGGAAATTTCGATGGATTTTATAGAAGGCTTACCGCAATCAAATGGTATGAGTTCTATTCTGGTTATAGTGGATCGTTTTAGTAAATATGCTCACTTTGTGGGACTAAAACATCCTTTTGATGCTTGGTCCGTCGCTGTGTTTGTAAAAGAGATTATCAGGTTGCATGGCATTCCTCAGTCGATAGTTTCGGATCGAGATAAGATTTTTCTCAGTGTGTTCTAGAAAGAATTATTCAAGTTGCAGGGCTCTAAATTGAAGTATGGTACAGCCTACCATCCCCAAATAGATGGCCAAACTAAGGTGGTCAACAAATGTTTAGAGCAGTATTTGAGGTGTTGGAGTGTCGGACAAACCGAGACAATGGAGTAAATGGCTGGCGTGGGCATAATTAGCTTATCACACTTCAATCAAATGTGCTCCGTTTCAGGTGCTATATGGTCGAGATCCACCCCCATTATTACGATATAGAGCCCTCATCCAATTTATAGTCGGAGAACAGGAGCTGCTCAATAGAGACGAAATCTGGGATGAAGTTCGAATGCATCTATTGAAGGCTCAATGCCAGATGAAACAACAAGCTGATTTGAAACGAAAGGAGGTGGATTTTACACCGGGAGATTGGGTACTTCTGAAGTTATGTCCTTACCGGCAGAAATCGTTGGTCAAAGGAAATAATCCGAAGTAATTAGCTAGATTTTATGGCCCTACAAGATTTTGGAAAAAATTGGCAAGGTAGCTTATTGGCTGGAGCTGCCAACAGGGTCAAAATACATCGTGTGTTTCATGTATCACAATTGAGACAAGCTCTGGGCAATTGTATGTCAGCTCAGAATGTTCTTACTAGGTTGTCGGAGGACTTAGTGCTACAAGCAATGCCAGAGGATTTGTTGGATGTCCGCCCTTTGGCTCACGGTGATCCTGGCCAGTTAGAGGTGTTGGTTAAATGGAAAGGGGTGTTGGTTAAATGGAAAGGGCTGCCCGATTTCGAGTCCTCATGGGAAGAGTTGGAACCTCTGCTGCAACAGTTTCCTAATGATCACCTTGAGGACAAGGTGATTTTTTTTTTTTGGGGGGGGGGGTGGGGAAGTATTGGTAAACCTCCTATATGTTTCACGTATAAGAGAAGGGTTAATTAGGGGAAATCCTTTATCTTGTTAGGAGTTGGTGGGTATACCTGTCTAAGGGAATTTTGGGGTTCTCTCTTTTGGAATAAGGAGCGGGATCCTTTATTTGTTGAGGGGAGCGCTTTCTGTTAGGCATGCGTTTTTTTTTGAGTAATTGTAAATCGAGTTTAAAGCCATAGGAGTATTTCTTTTTCTGTAATTTCAATTCAATTTCAATCAATGGACACCAGTTTACTTATTAACTGACCTTAGTTCGTTCGTCATTTTGCAGCTTGAAAAGGTCGAGAAAATTTCAGCATGAAGATAGGCTTTTTTCATTGTCATCAGTTACCTCGCCAGCGGTATGATAGATGTTTTGTGTTCAGACAACTTTACATTTTGTATTCAGATAACTCTGTAAAACAATGCTTCTTAATTGCTCAATTTTTTTTAGAATTTTCACTGGGGTTACATTTATATTAACGGTTTTTCAGTCTGATGCTCTGCATGGGCCCTCTATGCTACATGCCTAATTGGTGGAACAACTTAATTCAGAGAAATCAGTTATTATCACAGAAATTTGTGCTTAGTTATGCAGATTAGTCTTTAAATTGAGAGTGATGGTCTTTTAACATGTAAGCTAAATTCAGATAATGGACTTCGGATGGATTAGTTTGAGTGCTGTGCCAGGCAAGTCAAATATAACAGCTTCCTGGTGATGGTGCATATTTGCAGTCTCTGGCTTTGAAGTGCTTATTGATGCTCCATACAACTCAGATTTTGTCAAACTAGGGGGCAAATCAGTATATGGGGTATAAAATGATATTTAGGTATAATTTAAACGGTGAGTTCCATATCAGTATGTGAGATATTAAATAGTAGCAGTATCTTTATTTTTTCTGCCTCCACATCCTTTGGGCTATTTAAATATCACTAGTTTGAAAGACTATTCTAAAACGATATCTGCAAATAGGTATTGTTAGAATTTGAAGTTCAGAATGAAGAGAAGGAAACACCAGGGGTCTTCTCAGAAGTTGGAAACAGGCCCTCTACTCTTTGGGTGGAGGTTAGGTCTGCGTACAACCCACTCCCAGACCCCATCCCTGGGTGGGATATACTTTGCTCGTTCGGTTTGGTTTGGTTTGGTTTGGTTTGGTTTTTAGAATGAAGAAAAGGAAACAGTTTCATGTTTTCCAAACAAAGACCATTGCTCTTATGATTTTGATGCAACTAAAGGTCATATATCAATATTATTATATTTGCAGTCCCATGCCTGGATGCAGTAGGTTTTGTTTTCTGGTGTCTGCCTATACAAACTCTTCCAGAATATACGTTGTATTGATTGCTTAAAGAAACTTTTCACATCTATTTCTTCACTTGGTGATTTTGTCGTTGCAATTATGAAATTATTAGTTTTCAATTTTCATTCAACTGTACAATCTGTGTACATTATCAGAAGCTTACCTGCAAATTGCAAGTCAAATCTTACCACTTGAACATGGAATAATCATTTAAATTTCTAGTTTACTTCTATTGTTTTTGTATATCTTCAGGCTGAAGAGCTTGGAGCAGGACGAGAAGGTGAGCTCTTCTAACTAACAACTTCTCTTTAGCATATCTTCTATTCTCGACAAATCTAGTTTTCAGTTCAACCATGTGTAAGGTCCACTTATTCTTTTCTGGTTTGCATGTTTATTAGAGGGAAGATCAGATATGGGTCCAGGCAGACCTAAAGGTGGAGGCCTAACTATTAATGGACAGTAAGTACACATTTCTCTTTATTGACTCTATTTTTGTCCTCAGTTCAAGAAAAAGTTCAGTTTGTTCATTCAAGGATGTCGAAGGGATAAGAGGCACCCCTAGGCACCAGGAGAGACAAGGTGTAGGGTTACTGACTTGAGGTTAAGCAACACATTTTTGAAGTGGTGGCATCCCAAAGGTGGTGAGCTCCACTGTTAAGTTCTATACTTATGGTGATTTAGTTTAAGAGCCCTAGTTTCTTTCTTATGAAGATAAACTCCAGAAACAAATAAAAACCACCAAGGCTAGCATTTATTAAACTTACATAAAAGTGTAAGGGGCAGTTCGGTACTGACTTAATGGGCCATATGGCATACTCGGTAAGCCCAACATGCCTGTTTGGAAGTGGCTTAATCATTCAGATAGTGGCTTATTTGGTCAGCTCATGAGAGCTTGCTTAATGTATTAAGCTCCTTTTTTTTCCATCCCTACCCTTTGTGAACAGCCCCTTACTCTCCCTAAACAAAACACGCGCCTCCCTGATATGAGAACATCCCACTGCTGATTTGTTGCTGCTTTGCTGTTGCCCCCTGTTGCCTGTTTGTCCTCCCTCCCCCTTGCTTCTTCATTGCTTTCCTTCTTAACAAGTCCCCCCTCCCCCCTGCCATTCGTCTGTCATCCTCCCTCCTTTGGTGCTCCAATTATTTTGGTAATTGAAGAGAGTAGATTGTACCTAACCTGCTTGTCTTTCTTCTCTGTTACTCTTCTTGTATCTCCTGCTACCTCATCCTTGTTTGCTTTGGCAATTGAAGACGAAGTAGAAAAACATAATCCACATTATTGGGTTTTTTCCCACTCTATCTTCATGCTTTTTTTGTTAGCCAACTCGTATTTTAGGATTCTTTGTTTGTTCATTTTGTTCAAGCCGAGGATAAGGGCTCTTTGTTTGTGCATCATTTTGTTCTGGCAAAGTATTTCTAAATAGTATAGGTTCGTTAATTGCACATAAGTTGTTTGATGAAATGTCTAAAAGAAATGTGGTGTCCTTAAATCCAGTGACAGATGGGCCCTTTGGATTAGGTGACGTTTCAAAGTTAGGGGAAAAATAGTAATTTACACCATTCAGCATATAGAACAAACAACAATTTAGCTTCATTCCAACCAAACATTCCCCAAGTCTCTAATAGTTGAAGAACAATGATAGCCAATGCATTCTATAAATGTTCACAAGTAAATCTTTAATCAGTTCAGTCTAAGTGCTTGCTGAAGACGAGGCACAAACCCATTAAACTCCATATGAAAATGAAGAAAAACCTAGTCTCCATAAAGAATTCAGGAATCCTACAATAAAGTCCTAGCAAGAAGGATCCCTCAAATTATGCTCAATGCTCCTACGATTACATCTGATTGCTTCTTATTGTGAAGAACAGCAGGGTTGTGGGCAAACAGAACTCATGGATAATGAAACCAATAACACTGAAGAAGCATCAATAAGTTATACCAAATTTACATTGAAAAACATACTAAAGTCATACTTAGCATCAGAAATAGGAATATGCACCACCATAGTTACCAATCTCTGTGATGCGATGGTACAATGCAACAAGCATGATGTGCTAACATCTATGTTACACCCAGGTAGAAACAAAAACATGTTCTGGTGTGCAAAGGCTTTCTTTTTCTCCTGGGTATTGTCTATAAAAACAAATGATCACTATAAATATTTCTAGTCATGCACATGGAATGACATGGTCCATAATTACCCCCATGGAACCAGGTTTGCTCATATAGTCCAAAGAGTTGTAATAGTAGTTAACTAAAATTTACACAAGCACAAAAATAGTAAGTAAATAAAATCTCATTATGTGGTTTTAACATTTAAGTTTAAGAAAGTCTTGGAAGTTCATCAGAAAAAGTAATAAGATACTGAAAATTACCAACTGACTCAACACGGGCGAAGGCAGTTTATCATACTACTAGCACTAGACTCACTCCTAGATGGGTTAGCCGCTTATGTATGCCGACCCATGCCACGACTCAAAATAAGCTGAAAATTGACTTAAGCTCTTCAAATGCTATAGTCTGTTGCGTCTGTCAACGAGTGATGTAACTTGCAATGAAGACGTATCTAGCTCGTATGGACAATGACACCCACATGCAATTCCTTTCATTTGTTAGCCTTCTTGTTCTGATAAGTGCAACAAGCAGGGTAGAAAGTGATTGATGGTTCAAAGCTTTAATAGATTTACCGGTAGTTAGAAGATTCAAAATAAAGCTAGGCATAAAATACTAAAGGGCTCCAAGATTTGGCTAGATATTATTTTCAATGCATACAACTTTATCTTGCAGACATTTAGGCAATATAATAAGGGGATGTAAAAGGAAAATGTTGTTTTACCAAGAGTATCTATTATAAACAACAATTAAATTACCTCAATGTGTTACAATAACATGAGGATTATGTTGCTCTTGAGAGAATGGAATGTGTGGAAGAAATGAAGCTCTTGCTCACTATGTTGATCACGAGAAATAGCGGTAGTAGTATGTGCACCACTAATCAAATGTTGTGCACTCTAGCGTTGAAAGACCTTGTGAAGTCCTCCTTAATGTAGCATTTGGTGCGCAGACATGATTGGACAGGACTGGACAAGAGGGTAGGACAGGACTGGACTGGACGGGACAAGATTGGACAGAACAAGTGTGTCTGGTGTTTGGTACGACTAGGACTGGACTGGACAAGACAAAACTAGACAAGTTGTCTCTAAAAGTTATTTTATGATTTTATATATCATATAATAGTTATAATTAACACAAATAAAGTAAATAATTTAATTTATAATATAAACTTTTTACTCAATTTTCATGAACATAAATACATAAATATAAAATAGTACCAAATTTGAATGTATTTTTTTTATATAATTGATGGTAGTTTGAAAAACCCGATTCATACAAAGAAGTTATGTTTTATTCGATTTGAAAGATCCTTATCAATTGGTGAAGGCACGGTGGAAATTGTTGCAACAACAATGGTTGTGGAGGTAGAAGCATTGGTGATTGGTGGACGATGGTGGTTGTGGAGGACGTGAAGATGGTGGATAGTGGTGGAGGAGGTAGTTGTGGCCTATGTGGTGGAGGTAGGTGTGTGACGATATTAGTGGTGGTGGAGATAGGTGGTGGTGTTTGTGGAGGACGTGAAGATGGTAGTTAGTGGTAATGGTAGCTGGTGGTGGTGGTTATGAACGATGTTGGTCAGTGGTCGACGATGGTTGGAGGTGGTGGAGGAGGTTGTAGTAGAGGAGAAGGTGGAGGTGGCCAACGGTGGTAGTGGTGGTGGTCTGCTTGGTTTTAAAAAGCGCGATGCGGTCCGATGCGTTAAGGGTCCCGGAAGCCGATGCGTGATGCGTGATGCGTGATGCTGATGCGCTCGCATCACGCACGTGATGCGCCCGATATTCAAAAAATATTTATAAATTAATTCTACATATCAATTTCTACCTTAAAAATACTTACCTATCAAAATACTTCATTTATAACATAAAGTAGTTAAAAAAGTGGCATTAGAATCTTAAAAAGTTCGTGAATCAGAATAACAGAAGTACATAACATACAAACTACTACCATGAAGAACACAATTACACAAGTAMATGTCTAATAGTCCTAATCCCTAAACTAAATGACCAACCAAGTGACCAACTAATACTCCCCAAGATCAGCATCATCAAAACCCAACACGGGTTCTCTAACCCCAGGTTCTATTTTACATAACTAAGAAGCCCAACTAAAAAAAGCCCAACTAAAAAGCCCAAGTAAACACTAAAAAAGGGAGCCCAAAACGCAACAGACATGATGCGCTGATGCCTAAGTGATGCACGCATCGTGTGATGCGTAGGTGATGCGTTCGCATCATGGAATCGCATCGCATCAGCCTCTTTGATGCGTTCTGTCCAGCGCATCAGAGCGCATCACGCATCAGAGCGCATAATGCGCGCATTTTTAAACCAAGGTGGTCTGTGGCCGACGATGGTTGATCAAGTGGCGGAGGAGGTGGTGGTTGTAGAAGAGAAGGTGGAGGTGGGCAACGGTGGTAGTGGCAATGGACGGCGGTGGTGGTGGTGGTGGTTGTGGAGGTGGTGATAGATGGTGGTGTTCGGTGGTTAATGGTGGTTGTGGAGGTGGTGAGGAGGTGGAGGTGGCCGACAGTCGGCTACCAGTGGTGGCGTTGACCGCAACTAGTGGTGGTGACCACTAAAACAAATACCATGTTAAAGTTGTATATCGAACGAGGGTCGATTAGTAATATTTTAGTTTCTGTCTCCTTTTCCCATTTTGTTCTACCTATTTTTGTGGAACAAGAAAAAACATTTTTTGTCCCACCTTGTCCCAATTCTTGTCTCTGTTCCATATCGCACCAAGCGTGGGACAGTGAGTTCTTGTCCTATCCCATGTCGCGCCAAACGTGGGATAGTGAGTTTTGTCCCATCCTGTCTTGTCATGTCTCATGTACCAAACGCAGTCTAAAGCTTCAGGCAATGCCACTTATAGTGTAGAAGTTAGAACCTCCCATGACAACCTCCTTTCTAGTGGCGCTTCTAGCCTTCTACCATAAGTTGAAGAAGTCCAAAAGATTGCTTTGAGCTAGTGTGTACTTTCGGACTTTCGGCTGGTGAGCATTTGATGAGAAGCGAGTAGATTCGATGGTAGTAGTTTTGGTTGGCCCAAAAGCATTGTTTGAGCCAAGTCATGGGTAGACGAAAACTCTTAAATCATAGACAGACTTGCGACCTCAACATAAAAGGATGAGCCTGGTCTGTCTATTTGTACGTATTGGCTTAATTCACTCCTAACCTCCAAAACGCAAAAGAAAAGGATATATTTCATGACGCTCTTGAATGATGTGTGGATCCACTCAATGAACTTCAATTCTTTGGCTTATCTACAAGTTGAATTGAAATAATTTCTTGAAAATAATGAGAATGCCCTTGAGAGACGGAGTACACACGAATCATACTCGTAGATGTTAATTAAGTTGCTACTTTATGCTTTAAAGAAAGGTGTGGTCAGACAAATGATTGCAGTGGGCATGAATATCAGGCGTTTAGATGTCGAATGTACACAAGATGTCATTATTATTTGCTTGCTAAGGAGTCATTAGTTTGGATGAGCCCAATACTATGTTTCTTTTTTATTGATGATAAACAGAAGTTGACAAATTGGTTCTAATTTTTGTCGTTAAATCTCGTTCAGACGTAAGGTTTGTAGTGATGATTACTGTCGATGGAGAATCTTTATGACCTAATGTACATAATGTTTAGATAACCAGATATTGCAATCTATAAGAAGGAAAACATCTGTCAAAAACAAGAAACCGAATGGTTTCTCGTGGCTTGCCACTAGGGTTTGCAGTGATCTGCCAAAGGCAACTAGGAAGCAGTGACTTCTGTCGTCCCCTTGGTTTTTAGGTCAATATATGACATGAAAGAGGACTGGAAAAGATTTAAAAAGAAAGCCCAAACTGCCTATTATATAAACCAAACTGGACCAAATGAACCTGGTAATTCTAAATGGAATGAGCTTGAGCCTCAAGCCCTAGGGGCCACACATTTTTCAAGACGTGACTTATGGTGACAAATCTATATATAATGTTCAAGAATATGGTTTTCTACTATTACTCTGATATAAGACCATATACAAGTAGGTTATATGCTAAAAGGGTAGAAAATATTGACAAGTCACAAAAAGCCACGTCATAAGGTAACATGGCGTCAGAAAAAAGCCTTGCACCCTTTAGAACACTGGATCTACCCCAAGGGGCAAACCACTGTTGTTTCTGTGAAGATTTCCAGCTTGCGAATCAAAAATTATAGAAACAAGCGAGCAAGCTACACGTGTGAGTGTGTTGCAAATAAGCAATGGAGTAAATGGAAAAAAGCAGCAGAGGGAAATAGGTTCATGATGCATATATGATGCTGCAAAAGTCTTTTTTTCTCTTGAATCAACATGGTAAATTCGATAAGAATCACCGTGTATCTTCATTGTCCTTGTATTTTCATCTTTTAACACCACTTGGATATAACTTTTTTTCCATGATTTGAATGTTGAGCCGGTTTTGATTTTGCGTGTATATGAATATGATTGATTTAGGGGGAAACCGAAGAAAGGAAGAAGTGGACCAAGAGATGGGCGGAAAATCCGGCTGTCTAATGACCTGGATCTTGATGATGACGATGATCACGATATGGGTGGCATGAGATAGTTAAACCTCAAAAGGGGATGCTATTATAATCTCTGTTTGTGTGTTTAATTTTGTTTTCTATTTTTCATAACTTGATGACTTTTAATTTGAAGATGTAAGCTAAGTTGAGATCCATCCATATTTGTGATCAGCAGTCATTAAGAGGGGGACTTTGCTTGCAACAATATTTACCCATGTGAACAAAACTAAAAATCTTCAAAAAAAAAAAATGAATTAAATTTAACTCTTAAGAGGATGCACATTAGGATGAGATGCACTGGATCAATCCTCGCATCAAACGCGATTCATCGGTAGGCAAGAGATAAAAAGTGATAAGGAAGCAGATTCGTTCTTATGTTTCTCATTTTAACTCTTTTTCTCATATAATTATTCACCTTTCAAAATTGATACAGATACAACACTCATCTTATTTGTCATGGGCAAGGTGAACAAGTTAAGGGAGGGACGGTTAGGAATCGGTCTGCTGGTTATATGTTTCTAGCATAAGTCCGTCCCGTTATGAGGATTGGCCTGGTTGGTTTGTTTTTTTTTTTTCTCGATCCTTTTTTGAAGTTCTTTTTTTTTTAAACCTCTACCATTGGATCGATTACAACTTTGCTATTACCGTTTATTTACTATTTTTTATACCTATGTACTCTCATTCTATCTTAATCTTTCAACTTCTAAGTTTATAAATTGTGATTTCGATATACTTTTGTGTTCGTATTTTTCGTGAAAAACTTCACACACTCCAATTCTCAAGTGGCTGGTTCTTGAGTCTTTGGTTCCCAAATTCGTTTGTCGATCATAACCGAAAAGCATTCGATTGGCAAAATTACAAGTTAGTTATAGCAACCCGTCACAATTTGCATATATAATACATGAACTTTGGAATAACACTAACTGGTTCCAACTCTACAGAAAGATGGTCAATAAAATTACTACAAACTTGATGCACAATTTACATGACTTGAATATAACAAATTCATGAGTTCATGTAGTAAATAGTTTCCACAAAACTTAAGTTTAGCATATAATCAGATGTAAAAATTATGAAACTTCCAATAACATATTCTCCTTTCCTTTACCTTCCGGATGTACTCGACTTGAAATGTACATTTTTAAAAAAACATAGAGAAAGTTCGACCATAAGGTTTAGTGAGTAATTCTCTGGTAGCTTTACATGGTGAAAATTACCAAAAGAATTTTGGGAAGTCAAACTTAAAAAGTCAATATAGGAACAATAGTTGTTACACACCATACTATGTGATTATTATATGTTTATCGCACCACAAGGGCACCACAACCCAATTTATCGCACCAAACGGATGCGACAACCCAACTTATCGCACCACACGGATGCGACAACCCAACTTATCGCACCAAACGGATGCGACAACCCAACTTATCGCACCAAACGGATGCGACAACCAAACTTATCGCACAAAGCGGGTGCGACAACATCACTTGTCGCACGAAGCGGGTGCGACAACATCAACTTGTCGTACCAAGCAGATGCAACAATATCGACTTTATCACGTTAAACTCATGTGACCCAAATTTCCTCTTTAAACTAACCATTGAGTATGTCACCCATAATCCTTACGCCTCTCTAGATTATGGCACCCACATCCATTTACATCACTCTTGCCGATTATGCCATCCACAATCATTTACACCTTTCCTACCAATATTTCGATAAACAGACATTATCCCCCACAATTTATAAATATAGTATCAAAACCAAGTATGCCAACAAATAACAATTAACATACCAAGAACTAACTAAAACCATAACCCAACTTATTTCTTAACAAAAGCATTTCAGATTTAATTTTTGAAGAAAAACTCACCTTGATCACAACTAAACGGTAAACTTCTATTCGGTAACAAACTTGGATACCAAACACGTAATCTTTTCTTCTTAATCCTTTTTGTTCGAAACCCATAGACCAAAAATAATATTTCACCAACTATCTTCTTCCTCTTATCTCCAAAAATCAAAAGAAAGAAAATGAAAAAACACACACACACACATATATATACATATATATAGAGAGAGAGAGAGAGAGTTGGGTTCACGTGAGAACAAAAGTTTTTCGTGAGACCTGTAAGACCAATTTATGTTCATTGATCAACTTTATAAGTTAATGATCTAATGGTCTAAAGTTGCACGGTGGCAATTTTGTGATTATTGAGAAGTCTCGTGGCATTTATGAATGTTCAGATTGTCAGATTGTAGATCTAATCCAAGGGTTGATAATTGGTCTTATGGGTCTCATGAAAAACCCTTGGTCTCACATGATCTTAACTCTCTCTCTCTCTCTTTATATATATATATATATATATATATATATATTAGAATAATACTCGCGCAATGCAGCAAAATACATCTCGATTTTAATTTTTAATGTTTCGTTTTATTCTGTCTCTGTCGATGTTATAATACGATTTTATGTGGTATTGAAAAAACGATAATATTCTTATTTTTTGAATAAAATATAAATTTGAAGGTATAATAAAAAAAATTAAAAAATATATCGATTTTAGTATCAAATTGAATTTTTGAATTTTTTTTTTTTTGTAATTTCTTTAATTCAATTTTTTTTATGATAATTTAGATT